TTTGGCCCTCGCATTTTGTTAATGTATTATTATTACCACTATTTTAACTAGAAGGACTGTGCAGAACATTTCCTGCAGTTTTTAAGCATTTATCTAGACTTGCATCATTGCTCAAGACCACAATTTGAATCTGTCAAGCCTCATCCCACGATCTTTTACTCCCCTAAACGCTGCTTATACTTGATTCTGTCCTGAGAAGGAGTCTAACCAAACAATTTGCAGCATGCAAGTACCCTAAAATGTAGTTAAACATTACTAGAGGAGACGGCACTGGGTGATGAATAGGCAAGCAGGGTAACCTGACCCCTGAGAGCTTACACATCCCCTTTTTGTTTGTTTGTTTGTTCTGCTGAACTTTCCAGGAGTTTCATCTGCAGGAAAACCCTGGGCCTTACTGAGCTAGTAAAAGTCATGAAAATGCTTTAATTCCTATCACCGCTTTGATCATTTGTGCATGTATCTTCTGACAAGAGATTATTCTAGCTGTAAGCTGTCATAGAGAAAATCCATTTCAGTTTCTTCCATCTGATTTTCTTCCATGAAAGAGAAATTGTGTTTGGGTGTCGTGCCGTTCCCCCTGCTTTTGCTCACTGCTTATCCTGCCACTCTGATAAAGGTCAAAAGCAGGTAATATACGTTGAAGTTTCCACAGAGCAGGGTAAGCTCTGAGGTTGTTGACTTTGATATCAGTTTTCTTCCGGGGGGGGAATCACTCCAGCTTCTCATTGATTTTTCATGGAAATTCACCGATTTCTCCTAGTTTAAGATCTGGTCTCTGATTTCTTCCTGATTATCATATTCCTCTGCCCCCCACATGAAGTACTGCTTTGTTTCAGGTCAGGGTGATGATATCATTGTTACTGCACTGAGCACGGGGCAAAAAACTCAATTTGTTAGAATGCTGGTGCTGAATGACAGAGGTTAGTTCAGGAAAAAGATAAAACACCAACCCCTAACAAACACACCTTAATAAAAGGGAAAATAATGAAAGGAAAAGCTGCACAAAGCTTGAAATATGAATGCAAAGTCCCTGTACCTTTGTGCAGAAGGTGCTAATAAGTTTGAGGTTGCAGAATTAACCACTGTCAGGACTTTAAATACTCCTTTTGGAAATCACCCTTTCCTCTGCCTGTGCTATTCTGTTTGAGCTTTCTCTTTCTTCCCTGGCTTCAGCCTTTCTGCTTTTAGGCGCAAACTAATACAAGGAGGCAAAACTTGTTTGCATTTCTGCAACTTTAGATAACACAACACGAACTGATGGAATGAGCCACGTAGTTTTATGGTCCCCCGATACTGCAAGGGGCAAAAAAAACTTTTAAACAAACTAAATTTTGGTCATCAACATGCTTAATTAGTGCAGAATTGAATTATGATGTTTCCATTGGGCTCCCAAGAGTTAAAGTCACTTTTCTTCAGGTATATTGATGTAGGTGTTGGTATTAATTCACACTTTTGGGTTCTTGCAGATGTTATGGTGAAAGTATTTAAAACTTATGCCTTAAAATGTTTCTGGGACATGAACTCTTAATTTATTATTGCGGGAGTCTAGAAATCTAAAGGAATTAATTAAAATCTTATCAATTATCATTTACTCACATATTCAAGTAGAAATGATGATATGTGATCACTACATTTAAGAAAAAAGTAGAAAAAAAGGCTTTGAAAGCTTCAGTTGTCAAAATAGGCAGAATATTCACTCCCATGAGAGCAGAGGAAAGCAGTTGGGTTATTAAAAGAAGTCTAATAAACCAGGCTAAACCAGCAAATTAAACCAGAGAAAGAAAGATACAGTAAAGAAGACAAAAGTGTGCGTGTGGGGGAATGTGCTGTAAGAAAATCTCATAGGCTAAAATAAAAAATACCTTTTTCTAGATAAAAGATAACAAATGATTTAAAATCTATTTAGCCAATAGTATGTGAAAATATTTCATCATAAGATAGACATAATTTTTATAGCTATTTCATCAAGCTAACATTTCTGAGACAGTTTACCAGTCATAACTTTGACAAATATACAATTCATCCTTTGTGAAAGTTTTAAAGACATTCGGGTGAACTCTACCTTTAAATGAAGATGAAAATACAGATTTAATTATTTAGAGCATTTTTTCCAAATGAATATAAATGTCAAGTTTGCCTTTTAAATTAAATGACAGCAAGAAGTCAGGGGAAAATAAAATAAAACAAAACAAACACTAACAAACAGTTTGAGATTGATTCAGCTCTTGCTAACTTCATTATAAATGAGAAACTGGCTCTAATTTAGGTAATGAGATTTCACCAGTGTAAATTGAATTAGACTAATTATTTTATGATTAAAATGATCCTTATCTTTGCAAACAAAATAGATGGGTTGTTTTTAACAATTGCAGGATTTTTCAAATTAAAAAAAAAAAAGAAAATTGGCATGAGTTGTAAAAGCATAACTCCCACAGACAGAGTGTTATGTGAGAAGAAAAAAATATTTTTCTTAATTGGTTTATATTTAAATCTTTCTTTTCACAATTTTAATAAATTTCTAAAATGTCCTCTATAATCTCTCAGATCAAACCAATTTGGGCTATATATATTAAAAAAGTGTTTATTTCTTATTCTCATCATTCCTTTGTGCAGCACAGAACATATCTACAGTTTGCAAGCGTGTAAAATTAATTTGCCAACGTTTGCAACTATCCCAAAAGATAAGGGCTGAATTATCAGGTGTTTGAACCTTTAGAAAACAGGAAAGGGTCGTGTTTAATCTGTTTTACATTATGTTTGTTATGTTTTTTAAGTGTCCTGTAGTAACCAATTATTTTGATAATGCCTCTAATTGCACAAAAAGCAGGTATGATGTGCACGGTTCAGGGCAAGAAAGTATTGATTTTCATTCTTGATACAGAAACTCACCCGATAAAGTTATTAAACTGTGTGTTGATGAAGCAAATTGTGCTATAAGCATATAACAAGTGCTGAAAAGATAAATACGCTTTCAATTGCAACGCAAATACACGTCCCTGCAGCAGTAGTTGACCAGTACATGAAGCCGCTTCTCCCTGCACGGCCAAACTAGCATTGCCACCTAACGGGGAGCCAGCACCTCGCACAACATGAGCAGGCATTTTCCTTGATAGTAATCTTCGCTTTGCTTTAACAGCTTTGAAAAAAGCTTTACAAAGCAATAGTTTCAGTGGAAGGATAACATAATGCTGTAGCAAAGGCTGGACAAATATTTTGATTGTCTTGCTAGATGTCAGCACTTGAAATGAGTAGCGTTGTCTCAACCCATCCCTGTCTCATGGGCAGACAGACACACATGGCCCCTAAAGTACAAGTGTTAGTTTTATATGGGGTGCACAGCTTATATTTATTAGTCTTCATAGAAATACCCGTTTCTATTAGGCAAAAACCTTGTAGATGTGACCTGGTTGCAAAGTGATAATACACTCTGATGCACTAATGAAAATACACACGAATGCACTAATCCCTGTTCTCTGACGCATGGTCATGACACGCTTTCATCTTCCCCATCACTCTCCCCTCCATGCTCCATCTCACACATCCCAACATGCACAGGCACAAGCATACACGGATGCTCACACATGTCTGTTTGCAACGAGATGCACAGACAAGAACTGAGGAGTGCAGAGAGAGAGGATAAATATGCTCTTGTCTTAAGATGGTCTTTGCACGTTGTATCTGCTTTCTGCATCATTAGAATGATGTATGTATTCACCTCCCCAGGAATGCTTTTATGTATATACCCATTGGCAGGCATGCATCACCAACACATGCATGGTTACCTATACACCCATATACATATATAAGGGTGAATTTTGTTGTGTTTTCATTGCTGCAGCAAATGAAGTTTGACCAGCTTTTGGGAATGACTCCCAAACCAGGCCCTAATTTGAAGATGATTTAAGATTTCCACCCTAGTTAAATACCCTTGGATGTAAGACTATTAGAAAGCAGTTTGGATTTTACTCCCCCCTTTCCTCACTGTAGCTGAACAAAGCACCGTTCTCTGTGACTCGTCTGTATTTTCCTTTACACTGTACCCAGGATTTTCCCCTAATTTATTTCTGTAGGGCCTGATCCAAAGCTCCTGCTGATTTCAGGAGGTTTGGGATAGGGTCCTGCTCTTCTTCAGCTCTTGACCTGCTGCAGCCAGTCTGAAGTCAGTGCTAATTTGAATGATAAACATCAGGCCACACACACACACAAAAATAGTTTAAAGGAAGGTTTTGGGGAGGAAATTTCTATAATTTTTTAATAGAATGTGCTCTGCGTATTGCCGAGGTTTGCATCCCACACACTGCTATTTCAAGCATATTTTAGTATGTTAAGGTTAGGGATAAAAATCAGCTATAAGGTACAGTTTTAAAAGCAGCGGGATTAAATGCAGCAGTTAGAGACAGTGGAGCTGGAAAAAACCCCAATAACGGTGCAAAGAGCAACTTTGCTGATCTCAAAAAAGAAAGAAAAAAAAAAAGAGAGAGAAAAAAATCGAAATAATAGAAAAATTAACTCAAACGAGCCCAACAACAGAAAACCCGAGGCAAATAAAAGCGAGTGGAACAGATTTCCGTGTTTGCTTTTCTTTCTGCACTTGGATCCCTTGTCGTAGCCGCAAGAACTGCAAGGATAGGACACAGAATGGGAAATAAAAGACAGGAAAAGAGGGGGGGGGGGAAGTTTGTTGGTTTTTTTTGTTGGTTATTTTTTCTTGCCTTTTTTTTGTTTGTTTGTTTGTTTGTGGGGTTTTCTCTTTTAAAAAGGACAATTTAAGACAAAGGACGCAAACGGGAAGGCTCCAGCCCGGGAGAGCCCCGCTCTGCAGAGCAGCTCTGCCGCTTCCCCTTGCCCAGGCTCGCTCCCAGGAGCCGGCGGGTTTTTGCTAGGCAGAAAGCTGGGAGCGAGGAAGGGGATGGCTCAAATCACGGGCTCGGAGGGGAGGAAGAGGAAGAGGAGGAGGGTTTGGGGACAGGGAGAGGGAAGAGAAAAGGTCCAGTACATACAGCTCGATGAGTCCACCAGCCCCCAGCCTCCGCTTGTCTCCCTCTCTCTGCCTGTTAAGTCAAAAAGGAAATGCGGTTCTCTCTCTCTTTTTTTTTTTTTTTTTTTTTTCTTTTTTCAGAATCAGAAAACGAACCGTCAGGAAGTTGGCAAAATCTCTAACTAAACAATCAATCGAGGAAACGCAACAACTCCGCGCTGCCCGTCCGCTTTCGGCAGGGAGGGGAGCGGGGCCGGCGCGCAGCCCCGCGCAGCGCAAGCAGCTTTCCCATACTCAATACCCTCTCATTCCTGTGTTTTTACCCCACGGAAACTCATCGCTCGGGGCCAGTTACGCGCCCGCGGACCCCCAGCATCTCCTGCCGCACAGTTTGGGTACGGCAAAGCCCACGGCAGGGGCGGGGGTTGCCGACAGTGTACACCCCCCCTCCTTCCCTGGGGCTGCCCGCCCGCAGAAACACCGACATCAGCCCATCTGTCCCCAAAACGAGCTGACAGGCACACCCGCGCAATTATCCGCGGAGTTATCGTCCCTTCTCACTGGCCACGACAAGTTGAATGGAGAAAGGGGCGAGCTCCGTGCTGGTGTTCCTCCTAAGTGCGTTTCGCACAAGGATGAGTGTAGCAAGGGGAGATTTGGGTTTGGTTTGGGTTCGTTTTTCACAGCTATCGTCCCTGCTTTCCCGAAGTTTTCCCTATTTCACCCGTTCCTTCCCCTTCCCGTTTCGAAATGCCGGTCTCTGCCTGCTGACCCGTACCGAAGGGCTCCCCCCTCCTTACGCGAACGCAACAAGCACATGAATAGACAAGCTACGGGAGCGGAGCAGTTACTTTCCTTGGGCGACAATAACCCACCAAAGCCCTGCAAGGGATCTTCTGAGGGGGGGTGTTTCATCCAGATGCTGCTGAAAGCGGCTGGAGACCCCCTCCTTGCCCTTCTGCTGTTGCCCCCCCCGGGGAATAAGGGGCTGGGACTTGGACACCCCTGGGGGCAACGGGGGTTGCCCTCCCCCAGAACTGCGGGACACGCTCCGGGGTCACTGCTAAAAGCAACACAACTACGGATTTTTTAATAAAGAGCTTTCTCTTGCGAGCTGGCTGCCTTCCACCCGCCCCACGGATGAGCTGGCTCTGTAAACACGGGATAGCAGATTAACGCTGCTGTTCTAACCTCGGGGGGGTGGGACGGGGAAGGGGGACGGGGACGGACCAGTGCCATGCGAAAGCTCTTACGGCCGCTGATCTTTGGGCTCCATAATAGCCCTTTTGTTTGGGGAGGGGGCACAACAGCGCAGAGTCCTGCTGCCGCTCCCCCCCCCCCCCTCCACCCCGAGCTTGGCTCTGCCCGACCCGGCCCTTCTCCATCCTCCATCTCCATCCACTCCGTCCCCATCCCTCCCCTGCCCGTGGCTGGCCGGGGCTCCGGGTGTTATCCGCGGCACCACCGGTTGCAAAAATCGCGTAGAAGGAGGCTTTTTCTTTAAATTTTGTATTTTTAAAGTATTTTTTTAATGGGTGATGGCTTTCGTTTGGCAGCTCAGAAGAACCCGTGGAAAGCGGCAAAGTGAACTGCCAGCAAGGGGGGCTGCTCTTTTATCAGCTGGAGAGAAACGGTGGGCGGGGGGGGGGGTGGGGGCGTACAGGGTACAGAATAAAGGGGAAATAAGGGAAACAAGTACTGGAAGAAGAGCCCGGGCTGGGGGAGCTGAGCACTGCAGCCACGCCGCAGCCTCCCCGCAGCCCTCACAGCCACCCGCCTGCAACCGAGCCCAGCCTCCAGAAAGAGTGGTTTATTGGCAGAAAAGCAGTTGAAACAAGAACAAGCGGAGGGGAGGGGGGGGGGGGTTGGGGGAGGTCGGGGGGGGGGGGGGGGTGGAGGAAACAAATGAAAAGGAAAAACAAAGGGAAATGAGTATTTTAAAGAAAATAAAATAAAAGGACCTAAAAATCAGAAATAAAAGAGAAAAAAAGGAAAAATAAAGGAAATGAAGAAAAAGGAAAAAAGAAAATAAATGCAAAAAGAAAAGGAAAAATAGGAGGGAAAATGGCAAAAAAATGGTTCTGTTTCCCCACTCGGGAGAAAAAAAAAAAAAAAAGACCTTTACATTTTGAAATATTTCCCTGAGTAAGGATTTTCCCCCATATCATTTTACTCTCTCAATCCCTTTTGGTAAATCCCTTCCATGCACGATGCATTTGGGGTTTTTCTCCTCCGTTTGCCCTTTCTGTGTAACACGGGCATGATCTCCCTTAATGGTTTGACTTGATTTGGCCACATCCCCTATGACAGCGAGACGGGGGCATTTAAAAACTATATAAAATCGGAATAAAACAGCAGATGGAAGTTGGAGTACCCGGAAAACCTCTAGACAGAGCACACTGTAGCCAGAATGGGCTTTACCTTTATGAGACGCTAAAAAATGCTGCTATGAACGCTTTGGAGACCTTTGAAATCCCTTCATTTGCTATTTGATGCATTTGACATCCGAGCTCATTGTACCCCCGAGGCGTCCAAAACCTTGAAAATCGGGTTTTATTAACCTAATAAAATGCAAGCACGCAAAATTCAGAGGGAAATACAAGAATTAAAAAAGAAAAAAAAAAAAAAAAAAGGAAAACAAACAAAACAACCCCAAAACACAAACCCCTAAACAACCCTCTGACGAGTTTCTGGAGTTATTTCAAGGTTGTATTAAATGTGGAGGAGGTGAACCATTTTTTTTTTTGTCAGAATAGAATTTTCCTTTTTATTTATTTATTACAGAGGCGATTAGTTTTATAGCAGAATCGCTTTATAGAAGAAATCTAACATCCCTTTACATTTATAACTGACAAGCTGTCTTCGTTTCCATCTTTATGATATATTTCCCCTCTTCCTTGATTCCTGCATTATGCAATAACTCAGCAATTTTTATGAACAAAGGGGAAATATAATGAGAACCATTACAGCAGGAGTGTGCATTTTCTGCTCCACTAGCAGAAGGGTTTGCATGCAATATATTTTGTTTGAAGCCCAAACTAGCGATCTTAACGTTTTACATGATGGGAAAGGATGTATTTACAGTGTGGCCGTTGTTCTCTGGGACATTGGGATTTTACGGTACCATAAGAATCACCTGGCTGGAGGTACCAGCTCCACTTCCCTCCCCTTGATAGACAGCATCCCTCCTCCTGCAGTATCGGGGAGAAAGGGGCCAGATGTTCCCCCCCCCCGGCTCTTCTTTTCCGTAAAGAGAACTGTTAACGAAAAACCGAATTAACAATGAATAAGAAGGAAATAAGAAGGAAACCATAATAAAAAGCCACTTCTGTAATGGCTATTACTCCCAAAATGTAAATAAGTTCCAAGTTTCCCCGAACGCAGCTGGAATTCCGTTGCAGCCGCCTCAGGCTCTTAGTGCCCGGGGCACATACTGCTGGCTTAAAGCAGCGTCTGGCTTTAGAAGAAACCCCACCTTTTTCTATCATATTCAGCTCTAAAGTGCTTGTTCCCACCAAAAAAAAAGTGTGGTTTGGGGCTCTCTGGAGCATGGCTGTGCTCACGGGCACCTGCCACAGATAGCCGGGTCTGTTCTTACTATAATTGAGGCACAAGTGCCATAAACTCAGCAGCAATTAACAACTGGTAAATAAGTGTGCAGACTATAAAGCTAAGTGTTGCATCCCTCAGATAACGGCTTATCTATATAGCCATTACAACCACAGCTGCCTCTTCACCATGTAGAGAGGCTGGAGGTGCTGGCTCCTATAGGAAAATATTTGTCCAGTCCCTTTGGGACAGGAGGTTTTAACCCAGTCTGACTTTATTTGCCAGGAGAAAGCCTTTTCTTGTTTTTGTTTGGTGGGTTGTCGTGCCATGGATTAAAATCCTTAAAAGCTTGTTGTTTGCCCACAAAACAGATAATCTGGGTGGAGCAACAGGAGTCCTAATCGAGTCTTCAGACAGGTATCTTTTTTGTCATTCCTTCTTGGTAAAGATCATCATTTGACTGTATACACAGGCTTTTGGTAAAAACAAGCTTTATATACATTCCAGAAAAAGAAAAACAAGAAAGGAAAATAGGAGCCAATCCCTGAAGCACACTGGTCCATGTGGTCCAGCTGAGCTAAAAGCAAAGCAAGCAGCAAGTCTCCCTTGAATCTGGGTACCACTCAAATAGGGCCCTGGAGATGGGCACGGGAAGGAATATCTGGAAAGAATCTCTCCACACTGGCACCAGTGTACACTGGTTTTCTGATCCAGGGTGTTAGGATGGTTCATGAATTACTGGGTGGATTAAGAAGAATTAACCAGATTTAGGTGCTGGTCCTTTATTCTCAGTCTTTTTACTTAGCAGGGTTTTATCTACTTAAGAATGCTCTGATGCAGCATGGACTGCAGGGTACTAGAGACCTCGAACACCAGACTTGTATTGACATTACAACAGCAGTGCAAACTAGAAAAATGTTCTGTTATTTTTTTTTTTGTAAATTTCAAGGTTTAATACAAAGAATAGCATGTATTTTAAATTTTTTAATTTTTTGATTTATTTTAATAGATGAGGAAACAGGCACTAGTAAAAAAAAGGGCTATCCAAGGTGTGTTTTCAGCGGTAAAGGATCCCAACACAGGTTATTTGCATTCCAGCCTAGTGTGTTTATATCAAACCTACTCTGACTTTCAGATAAGAGTCTTTGCCTGGTTCTTACTGAAGTGGATGGACATTTTAGGACCACTTTCAAAGAAGAGCTGAGGAGAGTGGTAAATGATCAGTCCCTATTGATCCTTTCTAAACAGCTCTCTGTTTCTTCCTTTCTTTTTTTCCTTCACATAAGCAAATCTCCCGGCCCCGGAATTTGGGGGGGGGGGGGGGGGGGGACGGGCGGCTGTAGAAAAATGGGAGCATTGGTATGCTTTGGTCCAGAGGGAAGCAAAATAATCAGTCTTCCAAGCAGCATTTTCAAACAGGGGAAAGCTGCAACCTGAACCCTTTCTCTCAACTAAACTAGTCCATTTTTAGAAGGGTACCCTTTCTGTTCCATCTATAAAATCCTAAAACATGACAATTTTGCT